TTAAAATTAGTGAACTTTAAATGTAACAATTATTAGTAAGTTGGAATATATATTTATTAGTAAATAGCATAAACTACATTTTCGAAACAGTATTTTGGTAGCTATAAATTCACAGAGGTATTTCAGTTCAGAAGATAAAATAATATTTTATTTAAAATTTTCACTTTCACTTCGCTGCTCCCATAAATGTTAATGAAATTCATGTTTGACTAATTTAAGTTATTAGAAATAATTAAACAGGTATAAAAATTTAAAGAATGAAAATAAGTTAACATTAGTATTTTCTAGGCTACTTTATTTTTCTACGCAGTCTAACTTTCAGAAATAATTAAATGAACAGAATAATTAGAATAAGATAGAATAAAATATAACAGAACAGTAAATAATTACGTTTCTTGTATTCCCTACGGGATTTATTGTTGTTGTTATATTTTTATGCATGTAATAATTATTTTCCAGTTATTTATAAATATTAATGTGACAAACATATAAATACAGCAGGATGCTTACATGCATGTGTGTTACCTAAAATAAATCTGCAATTCTGAACCAATCCACACCAAATCTGAAGTAAACTTGTTCAAAGATACGGTTAACCTAACTATCCAGACTTTCAGTTTATGTGCTATATCAAAGAGAAAGAGTTTCCATAGAATTTGATAATTGTAATATGAATGATTTTCTAGCTTTTAGCTCTAATCAATCAAAAATTAGACAGATCGCACGAATCTATGAACTATTTATATTAGGTTTCCTATATTAAATTATCACAAGCAAAATCACTGTTAATATTTTCACAACGTATAGGAAGAACGTCACCGTATATCGTATTTTAAAAGTGGAGCTCCTAAATAGGAAAGGCCGACTTGTCCGTCATTTTGGAGCAAAATATTTTCTCCAATGCGGATGAGCTACAAACTTATGCAACTTATCACTACAAACAACGTTAACCTTAATTAGGATAATCCGTAGAGAAAAGCGTGTTTGCGTTAATCGAGTTATATTGCTTTTCGGAAATATTTTTTATACTTTTACAAATTCATTATAAAATTTAGTATTATTGTTATTTTAAAAAAATATTATTCATTGCTTGATAGAAACAGTTTATGCACATTTTTTGTTCTTTAATAATCATAGAATAAAAAAATTACCAAGCAAATGGTGAATAATCAGAAAATTTAAAATTGCATTATAAGCTTATCTAAAATTGTTTCTGGTTTTGGACAACTTATTTCTTTTAGTGTTTTTGGAGCAATTTGTAGGGGATTTGGAATAACATTAGGCCTTAATTTATTGTTACCATCTTTCCTACTCACTTTAAGTTGAGATTCTTCAAAATGAACCAGCAAGAAAATTTGAATTACTTTTCTATATTTTCATATTTAAATCTCATTAAAAGATTAAGATTTTTAATTTTGCATGCATGCTCCCATTAACTTCTCTATAACGGAGACTAATTATTTCAGTAATTTAACACAAGAATTTAAAAAAAAAATAAATACCTGAAAAACTTTTGAAGCATTGAATATTAAATAAATATCTTATTATAAATGTAAACAAACCGTTTGAACTTTAAGCAATATATTACCATATGTAACTAACAAAACTTAAATGAACCAGAATAAAAATTATTAATTATCTTACAGAATAGTGAATTAAAATGGAATACAATAAGAGCAGGTAAATATGTACTTTTTTACTAAACATAAAGAAACACTTAAAAGTGAATACAAAACTTGGTGATTCTAAGATAAGTTTGGCGAATACTTATTCAGCCAATCTCTTGCCATTATTTGCTGGTTTTATACCACACAAGCATTCAAAGTCTTTAAATAAATTTTTAAATGTTATTTAAAGGTCATATTTTAGACAAACATTTACTTAATAAAATGCAGTTTTCATTAAAAAGTCTTATATTTGATTCCCAGTTAGAACTGTAAAATTCAAGTAACCTTAAATTATTATTCATTTATTTATGTTACAAAAAAACAAAAAACAATTAGAACAAATTCTGCCAACTTAACCATTTGCTTACAGTGAGCCATATTGTAGCATTACGCGTGTTCCACTTGCTGTACCAGCAGTAAGGATAAGATTAAGATCGTTTATATGCAACATATATAAGTTAATAATTTCAATAAATTATAAATAATTGAGTATAATTAAAAATAAACCTCGCATAATCGAGCTCCACTTCTAGACTGTTAGATATACCTTCTTCAATTTATTACCTATTTCTTCTTTCTTTCGAGATTTAAAGGAAATCTAAACATTAGAAAGCTCTCTTTTTAACTGTTCGTTCAATTCATCTTTGCATAATTACGCATACCAATAGTTTTAAATATCTAAATGAGCTTCAAAGTCTAATGGTAATGTTAACACTACGTAACTAGTGAACACGTCTGTTCCTTAATGGCGGATAGTTCAGCTCTTCTAATAGAGGAGCCCTGCTTAAAAGGTATATGAAATCTCATGTTCCGTATGTTGATACTTAAGCATTTAAAGCGAGTCGCTATAACTTTTATTAACAGAATCTCAATATAGAACTCATGAAATAAATTGAAGTTATATTTTAAGCAACATAATATTAAAGTTAAAATCGGAATATTACGTTTTAAAAGAGACTATTTTTATCGTTAATCTTCCTTTTAGGAAGTTGAACTTTTAGCTCAGATTACAAGCAACTCGTTATACCACAACAGATAAAAAAAAGCATTGTGAAAAAATAAATAAAAGTTGAATATCAGTTGTCAAGAATATGTAGGATGGTGATATTAAGGTAATTATAATTACTGTGGAAGGTTAAAAGTCTATTACCACAGTAACTATATTATGTAACTTGGCATAATAGGTTCTCCTTACCACAATACTTATAAGGCAATATAAGTATTTTATCTCATATTTAATCAAGCATTTCTGGCGTCAATAGAAGTTTATAACTTTTATGACCTTCGAAATAGGTGACGTTACTTATTATTTTCGAATAACGCAATTACAACTTGCAAATTGAAAGTTGAAAGAAGATTTGTACTAAAATGCTAAATTAATGGAAAACCCCCTATCCATAAAGATTCATATACATTTTAAAAAAAGCGTAAGAAATCGCCTTATTACTATAGCTGCTAATAACGCTTTAATTTTGGCAACAGACACAACAATGGTGTTTTTAATTTTACCAAGATGATACCTACTATTGGTAATCTGAAAAAAGGGGTTTTATGTTTCACCGAAAAGACTATCAGGAGTTGACATCATGCAAAAGCCTTAAGCCGCATATTACTGAATATAATTTACATTCATTTTAATTGGAAGAACTTTTAAAAACATGTTTTTCTTATTCTGGTAGCATAAATTCATTGAAAAAGTCAGCAAATAATGAAAATAAAAGTTGGAATTGTTAGTTTTAAACTCTTAATTTCGCAAAGAATAAAAATCCAAAATTTAAAAAATTTAATTGAAAAACAATACCTTAATGATCTTCTGTACCTTATTGATTATTATGTTTTGCTGATAACAATCAAAATAAGATATTGGCCAGTGAGGAAAAACTGGATCCTACCAAGTGATTTTCCAGCCAGTAAAAACAACAATGGGAGACAACTTAATTTTCCTTATATAGAGAGAAATGAAAAAGGTGATCTGATTATGTACATATGTATGTAATATATTTTTAAATTTCATTAAAATAATTAGCAAGTATCCGTATATTATGAAGTAATAGTTGAACTGACTGTAATCAATAATTGTTCACTCATACAATCAACCCGACAAATGAAACAGAAGTATAAAACAATCAAAAACAAAAATAAAAACCATTTCAGATTCACATAAACAACAAATTACACAGTCACTTTTAATACAAAACAAATTTCAGCAAACCATCTCGTATTGAATTCATAAGTAGCACTAACAGTAATGGACGAACAATGTTCTTGCAGCATACAAACTTTAACAGCCTACAAGAGAAGGAGAGATTAATCGCAAAAATCATTTCTCCTGAGAACACAATCTAAATTCCTTGCATAAGCACTCAACTCATCGAGGTATATTTTAATGGAAAGCCGGTCCAATCCACGAAAGGCAATTAGGGTTGCAAATTAACATGGAATATGTACCCGTACTTATGACTCATGCCGGCAGTTCCGGTCATCGTAATAGGGTTTCGGTGGCTCCTCATTCATCATCAACTCAAATCTGTTATTTAATAAATGTTGAATACAGTGCCTCCAGTCGATTCTACCGCCAACGCTTGGTGATGTTTGGAACACAGGAAAATGAATTGGCTGACGGAGTATCCCGGCGACGATCGTTTTCTCTCAGGAGCGTTAAGTGCGTGAAAGAACGCATTAGAAAACAGCACGAAATTGCGTTAAATGGCGAAAGAGATAGCAGAGTTTATCGTAAAGTGGTGGCATTCGGATGAATGTAAAATGGTCTTTTCGCTATTTTTATTATTTTAGAGGAATGTGGAGTGAGAATGCAAATGGTCTTTAGAAATGCATTTGTAATATATTTAAACGTATTATATCATTTTAAACTCATCAATATAGTTTTGATTACTTTTTACAACAGTTTAAGTCCTTTTGGAAGATTTTTATGGAAAAATTTATTATAAATTTCATAGTTTTCAATAGGTCTTTGCTATACAATTTATTATTAATACTTTTATAAAACTTCTAGTAAGAGACTTTAGCGTAATTAGATAATCTTATATTTATCTGTATGTATACGCTTTTTTATTCACTCATTTTAATTTTATATTGATGTATTTTAGAGTGAATGTTCATAATGTTAATAATTAGTAATTTCGATGAATATATATATATNGAACTATTCTAGAACTATTTCTACAAAATTAAGAAATTTTGATTAATAACACAAATTAAACACAATTTTAGTAAGGTAAGTAGGGTCATATAATTTGATAAGGAAATGCCCCTTACACTAAAAACTTACTTGTAATCCTTAAAATACAAGTGCATATCTTTAAATGGACAGATATGGCTCTGGTATCTCTGGTATTTGAAATGTTGCTCAAATTCGGTAATGTCACTGTTTTGGTCAGTAATAAGGATTCAAGGCCTAAAATATCCAGGTGGCCTCCCCACAGGGCCACCACCATTTCTTCGGAGCTATTAAACCACATGTACGAATGCACTACTACTACTCTATTAGTAACAAAGTGATAAAGTATACCTCTACAATAAGAAAACACTACCTAAGGGTTCAGTTGATCAAATGTGTTTCTTGACCAAAATTTGCAACCTAGCTTTGATCACTCACAAAAGGTTAAGATTGTTTATTTGGGAGTGGTTTCTGTGGGTTAGGTATTTCGTGTAATATTAACGTTTATTCCATTTCGTTGCTTCATATTATGCTATAAGACGTTGGTGTCTTACTCTTATACTTTTACGTTTTAATACAAAATATTTGCTACCATTTCTCGAAACTAATAACTATTTCAGTTTAGGAAAAATACTGTAAAATATCATTAACTGATTTGATTGCAGTACAAATGTAACAGTATTTAAATAGTTGATTGGATTTGATTGCAACACATGGTTAGTGACGTCATTTTCAAGACTGCAAACATTCAAGTGCAAAAAGCATTACCTTATAATAAATAGGTAGGAGAACAGTTATACTGGTACTCAGCACATTATTTTATTGTTCCTACTTCTTCGTAACCTTAATTTTCTTAACAGTTGTGTGCTTTTGAAACATTTTAGTAAAAAAAAACTGTTTAACTATCACTAAATCATATTCTTTTATTTTCATAAAGTTTAAAATAGGCACAATTTGTAAACTTTAACACATACCAAAGGATAATTATTTAACAACTACGTAAATTGATAATACTTTATTTCAATATATAAATGTTAAATTCCTTAAAACAAGAAAAAAACACGTAAATTGGTCGGCAATATTTAACCCCAGAATTTATTTTAAGCTTTTGTAATTGAAATCATATATAAAATTCTTCTAATGTCAGTTTTTAATTCCCTTTTTACAAAAAAGTTGAAAAAACTTCTGAAATTAAAAAAAGCATAGATTTAAATTTTTACAACGTAAAAGCAAAGCATCTATTATATTTCATTCAGACAAATATTAGGTAGTTAAAGCAAAATTAAAAATAATCCTACAAAATCAAAAAGAAAATTAAATAAATTCCCCGTAAGAAAAAAACACTCAACAACATTGAAACGGATTCTAGATGCAGAATTCTTTAAAATATGTGAAAACAATAAATATTCATGGCAACGGAAACAAAAAAAAAGTAATTAAAACATTTATAACATTAAAACAGATACTCCTCCAGTGGGTGCCAGCCCATTGTGGTGTTTGGGGCAATGAGCAGGCAGATTTACTTGCCAAGAAAGGTGCCAATTTGCTACAACAACCAAATACGGCAACTTCCTTTTGGAAAATCAAACTGTTCCTTAAAAATTTATGTAAAACCAACTCATTGCAAGACCTTCAGACTCGCACAGCTTTGAAAAGTTGGAGAAATGTAAGCTCTTCTTTAATTCCCGACAAACCAAGACGTGATGCAGTTGCTACCTTCCGCTTATATACATGCCACGATTGTCTTTCTGCTCACTTATACCGCATAGGCCTTTCCACCACGCCTTTTTGTCAACTTTGTAAATCTGGAGAGAAATTGGGCAGGGAACACCTGCTTCTATGTGGGGCCCTTCATGGACACACTGAGTCCTCAAGATATTGGGAAGCAAGAGAACTTTTAAGGCAATGACTTCGGTCTTCTTTCTCTGTTATCCTACGTACATTTGTATTTGTTATTTATTTCATCTTTCTATTTGTACCTTTTGCCTTGCCATTAGAAATTAAGAAAGAACATTAAAACAGAGAGATTCAATAAAATATAGGTATTGAATTATCGCATTAGTTTGTAACAAACCACTTAAAAAATGCTCTTCTCTTGCAACCATAAAAGCATATGGTTAGACAGAAAAAAAAATTATGATAAAGCAGTTCTTAACCCTTATTAAGGAACATGAAAATCAATACCAGTGTCTTATTAATATTTTTTTAAAAAATGTAAACAAGCAATTTTATAACTGTGGAAACAAAGATGTAACTAAAACATTTGTAACACTTAATCAATGAGATTCAATGAAATATAGATATTAAGTTAATCGCATTAGTGTATAACAAACCACTTAAAAATGCTCTTTTGTTGAAACGTTAAAAGCAAATGGTGAGAAGGGCAAAAAAAATAATGATACAACAGTTCTTATCCTTGTTAATGAACACAGAAAACAGTAGCAGTGTGTTATTAATATTTTTCTAAATCGGTGTGAACAATCAATTTTCATAACGAAGGAAACAAAATGTAACTAAAACATTTGTATCATTTAAACAGTGCGATTCAATAAAATATAGATATTAAGTTATCGCATTAGTTTGTAACAAACCACTTAAAAAAGTGCTCTTCTTTTGCAGCGATAAAAGCAATATGGTTAAAAAAGAAGAAAAAATTGTAATGATATAGCAGTTCTTATCCCTATTAATGAACACGGAAAACAGTAGCAGTTCGTAAAAGCATATTCGACCTTTTTTTCCCTTTCTTTTTATTTCACCAAGAAAAGAACTAAAGTTGCTCATTTCTTCGAAGTGCGGGTGATCTTGCTCATCATCATTAATGGATTAGATGATGGAGAGGAAGTAAGAAAAAAAATTGCATTTTTGGAAGGTTTTTATCGCAAGTGATTAACAACTTTCCCATCGCATTAATTTTGTTCCTGACTTCATTAACTTAAGGAAATGTACTCTTTTGCAACCTCCTTTTCAAGAACAATCTCGGAGAATGAGGTCTAAAATGTTTTATGAATTTTCGAATTAATTAGCATAGAAAATGAGCGATACATCGCTATATCAAGTTTACGTAGCAGCAAATTATGAAACCATCAATTTGCTCCTTCATAATAAAGTGGTTTATAAGAATTTGAATTTAATTTTGTTATGCACAGAGTGATTCTATTGTAAAGCAGCACTGTTGAATCATTAAGCAAATTCTCTCCATATTATTGAATACATAATAAAGCTGATGTGAAGCTAATGTGATTTGTGAAGTGTTGTTACAATACTGAATAGACTTGTCTTTTCCCTTCCATAGCTATTAAATGCATTACATTATGTTTTAGTAAATATTGCATTTGTAATATTATTGAAATAACATTTGCTTGCATAAGTATAAATATATTATTTCCTTAATTAGAAATAAAGCATTGAAATACAATTATTAAAAATATGTACGCTTAGATTTCTCCTTCACAGATGTATTATGCTAATTTTTCATCCTTCCCTTATATTACATAGGTTTTTAACAGCAATGAAAATCGAATGAAACAGTTACCTTGAATATAAAAATCATTCAGAAGCATTTGATCATTCTCGGATGATACTTTGGATAACCCATTTTAGTGATTATTAATATTATAACAAACGTTTAGCATCTCGGAAAGACATAATAATGTTATCAATATCGAAATTATAACACAATTCTATTAATAAAAGTGCCTTACATTGTTACAAGACATATTTTGTTCCAAGAATACATTTATATTTTAGACGGAGTCTGCAAACGTAATATACTAGTACATATCTGATATGATGTATATGATGTGTCAATATATTTGAAGAGTTAAAGGAGTTAGTTTAGAGAGTTAGTTTAATTTAAAATTTGTAAAAAGAAGTAACGTAAAATATGAATGAATTTGGTTTTAAAAATATTTGCTCCATCTCATTTAATTAAATTGTAAAAAAGTTTTTTTTCGCCTTTAAAAATAGTTTATTAATTAAACTTTTTGACAAAAACAAACTTTTTGAACGCTTCAAAAAAATTCATTTTATGACATTAATTAACTTAATTAATGATAATGTATTTAACTAATTAATACGTAAAACTAAAGAAAATTTCCTACAAAATTTGCTATTCCATGCCTTGATGCGCTATTACAAATACAAAGTAATATTGATAAAGAAAGTAAGAAATATTCCTTTTGAAATTCAATCTGGTATGATAACCGAATTTTTTTTTCTAAAATATAGCACATAAAAGAATGCAAAACTTTAATAACAGCACCCTATACTGCTGTTTTTAGTAATATGAATTTAAAAATATTGCTACGCAACTTTTAATCGAATTGAATCACTGTTTCAGTTTTTCTTCCCAAACAGTAAATATAATGAATTTTTCAGAAGAGAACTTGTACCTAATCTTTGTTTTGACTTATTTAATAATTCCTTTATTAAATCTCAATTCATAAACAAAACTAGATAATGAATATCAAAAGAAATAGAATAGCAAATCAGACATGTCCTTTCTAAATAGCAAAGCATTGCAAAGAATTCTAATCCTATATAAACGGAGCAGTTTTATTAAAGTAAAAGCTAAGCTTATCTAGTAACTGATAAATTTTAATTCTTTAAATTGTTACTTTGGATTTATAAATTTATTTCAACCTTTCTATTTATTTAAAATTAAACCTCCACGAATTATTCCCAGGTTCATTGTAACTTTTCTAAGACGCTCAAGTAATCCGAATTGTATTCTCAAATCTTATTAAAGAGATTAATTTTTCAAACGAGATGTATCACTTTAACAACACTCTTCATGTAGATAAATCAAGGATTATAAGCGTGGTGAATAAATGTAATTATATCAAAATTACAATCTCATACAGATCTACTTAATTGACTTTTGCTTTAAAAGGGTGACATTATGAAAAGTATCATATTAATATTGTATTTTGCTCTTGATAATAATAAATAATACTGAAGATCTTTCTTTTTGCTTTCTTAATTTATGCAGTTGTTTAGAAATGAGCCTTGAGTGTGGGATGAGCAGAAATAGGCGATTGAATTAACAGAATATATTTCTTCCTGACTTGAATAAATTTAATTACTTCAAGAATAAATTTATTCTTTCAAATCCCTAATTTCTGTAAAATTTCTGATAAAAGATGTAAATCCATTACTCTGCGTTTAAATAGTTTTAATACTTCATTTGTAACAATATTTATAACTTTTATGACTCATTATACCAGAATAAAATTAAATGGTAGAAATCAAACCAAAAAATTTATAATCTAGTAAATAAATGGAATACTCAATAGAAAACGGAAAATAATTTTTAAATATTTATGCTTTTAATGAATGCTTTGTAAGATTTGTTTATAGAAGCAAAATGTTAAATTTATATAAAAACCAATAAAAGATAATAGTTTAAAATTACTACTTTGTATTTAAATTTGGAAATGATTATTATCAGCTTTAGCATTTTAATTAAATAAAACAATCTCAGTTATTTTTTAATTCTTTTGTATTTGTGCAAAGAGGTATAAGTAATTTACAACTATATTCCAAAGTTTTGTTAAGCAGGTAATTTTTCATGCTATGGGTTATTCTTACTGGAAAGGTATAAATAGACTTAATACATTTTTCTAAAATTAAAGTAATTAAAAAAGTGATAAAAATAACATAAATGCCTTTATTAATTTTTGTTATATGTCCTTATAATAATGGTCAAGTTTTCTATTTTATTTTTTTCGAGATTTAAAATATTTTAAATTCTGCCTTGTCCACGGAGGAGACATTTTATGTTATAAAATATAAAATGTCAATGAAGACTAATTTATTAATTATTGGGTACAACTGATATGAGTTTAACATTAATAAGTAAATAATAAAATATATCATTATTAGAGATAGAGCTACTTCCGATTAATCATGCTGCTATGAAAGGAAACATCCATTTTTAACCTAAGTGTGCAATTTTTTAAGTAACTCTTACTGAATATTAATAAATTAAAATGTAAAGACTATTGAACTAAAAATTCAGACTCAACATGAAAGTTGAGTGTTGAGGGTACTCTTTTGTGACCATTTTATGCAAGTTAAACATACTGTCATCCAAATAACGTTTTTGTTTTTTCTCTTTTCTTCTTGTTATTGTTTCTTTTTTCCCTGGGCACAAACGGCTTACTTTATCAATTTCTAGAAATTTAAGTACAATTAATCACGATTTCTCTGTTAAATCTTTTTCTCATACAGATTTTAAAGTTTCTTGATCCTTTTTTTTCTTTTAATTTCTTCAAACAATATTGGGTTTTCTTTTAATTTCTGTCTAGCTTGTCTCATACTAAATTTGTTCTGTTCCCTTCTCTTTTGCATTTGAACATTTGATTGCTTTCTTCTTTTACATGTTGGTTTTGCCATTTTTTTCTTAAAATTTGAAGAGAAAAAAATGATAAACAACACTGAAATTATTTAGAAAAATTGTCAATATTTACTTCTCTGATAAGAAAAAGTTAAACTTATTTGATTTTCTTTAAAAATACAAACAAATTAACGCAATTGTTCCATTTTAAAAAATATCAATTAAAGGAAAATAGCTTTTCAATTAATAAAATTGTATTATGGTTATCTAACACATTGTCTCTTCTATTGACTGTCTCTTCTCCTCCATGGAATTGTCATGTCCACGGAGGAGACGTCCACGGAGGACACAAAAACTAGTTCTTGAATTTTACTGATTTTTAATTTTAAAGTTACAAAAATGGGGCAGTTCTTTTTATGAAATATATTATTTTTGCAATCTAAAATTCATCCATCGAAAATAAAATAATTTTCTCTTACCTTCTTTATGATCATATTTACCGAACTATATTAATTGTCCATGGAGGGAGATTTCATTTTTGGTGGACAAAGTTTACTAGTCATTTATTTTGT